CGCGTGACCCCCTCGCGCGAGCGTTCGAGCGAGGAGAAAGGACGCGACGGAAAATTGGAACGGAGAGAAGGAATCGAAAAGAAACTTGGTTGGCAACGGAACGATAACGTTCGCTGCTGCCAACCAATTTCTCGATGCGACTCAATGCTCCCGCGTTCGCGCGTGATAAATTATTACGTAAAAAAAGTAACCGTGTAACAGGGCGAGCTTTGCCAGAAACGACGATTCGAAAATCTGTTGCGTCTCGGCGACGTTTATGCGTTTCGCATGATTAAAGGGGGGGGCATCGATCGGTCGCGTGGGCGTCGATCGATTTTACCTCGACCGACGAGAGACGTACGAGGGTCGCATTAATTCGCCGCTTCCACACGCGACTCGCCGCATTGTTGTCGCCGGAAACTAACTTTCTCGCGAATTCAAATATTTGCTAGAAAGTGGAGAACGAGAGTTCTCGTTGGAATGCAGAGGAGGAGAGATGGATTTTTCCCTCGAGACGTTATCGCGAAGAATCGTTAAAAGAAAAAAAAAAAAAAAAGAAAAGGAAAAAAACGACAACGGCAGCACGTGCACGTCGAGAGGAATCATCGGGATGGAATTCCGACGAAACTGGCTCCGATATGGCGTTTCTGCCTACCCTTAAATTATTTTTGTACCGGCTACGAGGGAGTCCGTGTCTCGCCGCGAAACTTCGATACGAAAATAGCTCGATGAACGTCCCCACCAGGCTTTTTCATCGAGAATAATGATATGCAGCGGAAAGAACGAGAGAGATGCGTCGATCTCCCCTCTTATCCCCTCCTTCCTCGAGAAGAAAAGAAAAAAGATCTCGGATGAAAATGAATCGGTATATTTGCATAATTAGCTCACTTTTATCCGTCGATAAATCTCTCGATTAATCTCTCGATTTTGCCAATAAATCGATTGAAATTACGCTAAGAAGATGTATCTCTAGTGATAAAGATAAGCTCGAGAAACCGTGCAAGAGCTTTTACTTTTCTTTTGTTTTTTTTTTTCTTATTCGATGACGAGGATTTACAATTTACGCGACGGCGTGTACACACTATGACATATATCGTGACACGGGACCAACGTGCAACGCGACGAAACACGAGGGGCGAAGCGAGAGACGCGACGAAACACGAGGCGTAGGTACACACGAGTACGTGTTTATCGATTATCGTCGTGATCGATATGGGTGAGCCAAGGCGAACGAGTCGTATTAATAATATTCCTTGGGCGACACACGTGGCGAGTCGCATATTTCAGCCTTCCTCCTTTTTTATTCGCGTTTAACGCGGCTCGGATTATGATCGCGGTTATGCAACCCAATTACCCACCTTTCGCAAATTGATAGCAATTTGCAGCAAGATGCAGGTTACCGGGCTAAATTACGAAAAGGGGCGTTGTAATAATATCGCGACGTTGTTAAATTCGCGAATTAGATCACCAAGGAGAGAAGAAACGATAGATGCGATCATCGTGATCGCATAAAATCGGCGACGAATTTTGCGTGTTAAATCGTCGGGCGCGTGACTCGACTCGAAACCGTTTCTCTCTCATTTTATCGATTTTTTCCCCGCGCCGATACCGATGATTACGCATCCCCCGGAATTATCGCGAAACGATAAGATAATTCGTTCTTAGTACGCGAAATAATCGGTTATCGATTTATTATGTGTATATATATATGTATATTATGTATATATATATATATATATATATTGGAAACTTTCGAAAAGTCATCGCCCCCTTGAGCTTCGATCACGCATCGAACTCGAAGAGCATGGGTCTCTCAAAATAACGCGGTGCCACGAATTCACGCGATATGCCTGACCCAAATATAGATCTCGCGTTTATGAATGGAAAAATGCACGCGAATTCTTTGGCGCGGTTCCAACAGGCCTCGTTGGCCGAAGTCCACGATGTTTCAGGCGCCGTCGAAACCAGTTTCACGCCGCTACACAAAATCACCTTCACACCGGATACCTTTCCTATAATTTCGACTGTCGGCTGTTGTACAAGCAATCGCGTGCACCTATCGTTCCGGATCTGGTTTTTGCTCGCGGAATGTCGCGGCGAGCTTGTTCTCGAGCTCGTGGAAACGACCGGTTGAACGATCGTTCTGCCCGACGTCAGAGGGCCAGCGTCAGGCGTGCAATAATAATAAACGGCTGGTATCGAAACTGGCGCCAAAGACCGTCTCGTGC